CAGCAGGAAAGAAAGATAGTAAAAGACGTGACTAGGGAGAGTAGGACCTTCATATAGTTGTGAGAGAAGCTGTGCTGGGCGTGAGAGAAGAAGTGCATGGGATGGTATTACTGCACTGATGGGAGAGAAAAGGAGCAGTCCTCCAGCCTTTGAGGTGAAGTTGAATGAAGTTGAACTCTTCTCTGTGATAAGAATGTTATAATGAATCAGGACCTTCTTTAAGTCTCTGAGCAGATGGGTTCAGGAAATACAGGTATTCCTCATCTGTGCTCACCTTTGGGATGTCATTTATAAACAGTACAAGGGAAGGGAAGGACTTGGATAAGCATCAGAGATGCCTCTGCTTTTCCTACACTCTGAATTGGATTCCTCTTTCTCCAGACATTAAACAAAGCAGTCTTGCTGCTTGGTCATTTAATGTTGGTTCCTCTGACTCTAATCCATTCTGTTTTCAGTATATACCTCAGATTTATTTTTTTTCTGATATTCTCCTTCACATTTTATATTTGTCTTTCCTGTCAAAAAAGCTCAACATTTCTAATGTTTCTTTTAAGGAAAAAAGTAATTGTAATTTTATTATTTGCTTTAAAAGTCTAAGAGTTTGTCTGAACTTGAATACAGTTCTCATGTGTGCTATTGTAATTTAGCTACTGAACCTAGACATGATTAGAATGACCCATTTAAACATAGAACTTGACATTCGATATTGTATTCTCTTTAGACAATTCAGCTGCTACTAGAACACTTATAATTTGCATTACAGAAGATACTTAACTTATACTTCTGAACCAATGTACTTAGGTACAAATTGCCTGTATAACTGCATACATTTATATTTGTCCTCATGCTTTTTGCGTAGCACTTTTAAATAAAATTACACAACTTCATAAGTCAGATAAGAGTGTAACATTTGCAGTTTAATCAGATCAGTACACTTTCCTTTCTCCCCTCTTCTTCACACTTCTTTCCTGCCCCATCCTACTTCTCACAAGAACTTTGCCATTAGAAGTATGCTTATGCAAGTGCAATTTATTCTAGTAACCCCTGTCTTTGAATTGTATTTTCTGAAACAAGGTGTGTTTGGTTATTAAGAATGAATAAAAAGTTTCAGCAATTACAAGTGTGTACTATGTTTAGAATTCTTTACCATGTATTTATGAATTTCAGTTGGTTTTGTAGTTAGGGATACTTGCTTGGAAAGATCATAGTTCAATGTTTTCGTTATTCCTGCTTTAATCTGATGGCTGTTAAATATTTCCAGGTACCTGAGCAAGTATAGAATCTAACAAGTTGTTTTATAATAAAAGTGTACTATTTCTTGACTGTAGAACTGTAGCAGATTAATTGACTATTCAACAATAAGAAGGTGGGAAGCTGCTTTTCCTAAGCACTATTTGAGTGAAAGGAAGCAAATCCATGTGACTTCTAGGAAAACAGAAACCTACTGATTTCTCCCTTGCAGCTACTGAAGCATGAGTGTGAAGAGTACATTGTCAAGTGTCCTCTGTTTTACAATTATTATGTGAAAGTGCTTATTACATGCAAGAATTACAAATCCAAAGTAGTGCGGTTTTTTTTTTAAACTCTGCAGTGTTTCCTATTACTGTTTAACTAAAAACTGACATTTGTCTTGTACAAGTGAAATCTGATTTTGCCTTTGTTTTATCTTTAAAGTGAAGTCCATATGCTTGTATTTGCATGCAAAAAGAAAAAATAACCTGACTAGAATAAAGCAGTTGAAGAAAAAAGCATTTTCACATAGGATAGGTAGATATCACAAGGTATTTACATAGGAAATGACTTCTAGTATTCAAATATTATTTAGTATCTCATGAAGAGCTACAGTTTGACTAGTTTGTCAGTAGAATAGGATAGAATAAGAGTTTGAAGTTTTATGGCATGTTCGTTCTTAGCTGCATGATGAATTTAAGGCTAGTCTTTCTGATTTTTAACTCTCAACTGAGTTGCAAAGAAAATTAGGGTAAAAAACGAAGACACTTTTTAGCTGTGTGCTTTCATACATCAGTTCATGCATATGCTTTCATCCAATCAGCTGGGTTGCTAACAGGGATGTAGAATATATTTGCACATGACAGTAATATAAATAATTATTGGGGCATGGGTAATTGGTAGGACTGACAGACTTTGTATTGAAACTTCTACAACACAGTCTTGTTCATTGCGTAAGTGCAATCACTTTGGTGTTGCTATCTTTTTCAAGAGTCTTGCATTTCATTTACCTTCAAAAAAAAAACCACCCAAACCCAAAAAAACCAAACACGCCCCCACCCCCCCACCCCCCATAGCTGTTTTTTGGTTTTTGTTTTTTTTTTTCCCCATCTTATTTTGTGTGTAGTAGCTCTATCTTCTGCATTTGTGGTTTAGGGATATTTTTATCTTTTTAGGTCGTTAGTAGCTCTACTTGTATGTTGGAATTGTTTTGAGTTAGTTAATGTCAGTTTAGCCTGGTCATTAGGTCTGGTCTTCATTTTAATGTTTATTGTTAAAAAGCTACTTTGTTTTTAAAAGTCTTTCTCCCCCCTTCACATTTCCTCTAGTTCTGCAACTACACTAAAAATCATAGTTTAGCGTTTATAGAGATATTGATGTCTTAGAAAAAATAATCCGAACACATTCATTGAATTACTGTAGTAGTAATCTATTCTATCGGACCAGGCATCACAATTAACATTTCTCTTGTTAATGAAATGCCACAAAGTACGCTTTCTTTCAAAGTACAGTGAAATGCTCAGTTCTGCATTGGCACCTGTCTTCTGTGTTAGCTTAAGTTTCTTTTAAAGTTTTTGTGTTTGCTTAATGAAGTTTAAAAAAAAAGTAGTAAATACTGAATGTTGTCAATCTTCGAACAACGTATTTAAAAGCATACAAATGCTTTAGTAATAAGTAGATATTCTGCATGAGAGATGATTGAATTGCAATCCAAGTCAGTTGGATGGATATCTGTATACCTCTGTCTAATGTGTAGAATGAATAGTTCGTATACAGTATTGTTTTTCCATCTGAAAATCTTTTGATCAGAGTTGCAGATTTAGTTGTAACGGTCAGGTGCTTTTCACTGTGGAATTGCTGCTTGGTTTTATTAGCTGGTTGCGTGAGCATTGGAAATTTCATTAAAGGAAAAATTATTAAAAGGTGGTTAGTTCATAATGGATTTTGGTAGATGAAGGAAGAGATTTGCAGATGTTCTCAGGGCAGTTTAAAGACAGTCCAGAACAGAGGGAAGTGACCACAACCTGTCTCTTTTTTGACGCTGTATGAATTGTCATCTCACTTAAGTGACCTGTGCATTTAACTTTAAAAGACCTTTTATAATTATCCTATTAAATGGTAATGTCTGATCATTGAAATTTGATAGTGAATCCTCTGAGCATTGAGCATTTGCTTGTGAAGATGGGTTAGAATAACCCATACTGCAGATGACTGTATGTCCTTGCATTTCAGTTAAATGATTTTTAAGTGATGAAGACATAGCAGTTAAAGGAATAACTGAATCCCGAAGTTAGTCCACAGAAACTAACATTGGTTATAGATCTGTCTGGACAATTAGTAATTTTTTCTCTTATTTTGGAAAAAGAAATGAAACAATGGCAAAACCATTTTGCTTTAATTGGTGTACTTCTGTTGGTGTTTTAAGTGTCCTGAAATGGAATGTTGAGAACATACCAAGCACTCTAAAGGCATATAACTGAACTGGACTCATTTAATTGCAAAACTGGATCATCAGTGACTAGATATTTGTGTCTTAGCCTAAGAGGTATCCCTTTTTAAGTGCTTATCATGGAGATGATTGTGCTTTCCCTGTATGGAGCAGTAATGTAGAAGGCTGGAGCACAAAATATATCATGTCCAGATTTTGATGCCAAAAGCTTAGAGTGCCATAAAGAGTTTTTCAAGACAGATCATGATTTCTTACAGTGACTGCTCTAAGGGTACTTTTTTTCATTGTAATATGCCAATTAAAAAAAAAAGTCACATTCTGG